TTGCCATTTCTTTTTTCTTTTTCTTTTTTTTGAGACAGTTTCACTCTTGTTGCCTCCCGGGTTCAAGTGATTCTCCTGCCTCAGCCTCCCCAGTAGCTGGGATTACAAGTTCCCACCACCACGCCTGGCTAATTTTTGTATTTTCAATAGAGACGGGGTTTCACCATGTTGGCCAGGTTGGTCTGAAACTCCTGACCTCAGGTGATCTGCCCACCTCAGCCTCCCAAAGTGCTGGGATTACAGGCGTGAGCCACCACACCTGGTCATTCTTGCCATTTCTATGTACCATTGTCCCAGATATTCTCACCAGGGTGACTAGATAGGAAAAATAACTAAAAGGGCAGACAGGTCCAGTGTTTCACACCCGCAATTCCAGCACTTTGGGAGGCTAAGGCAGGTAGATCATTTGAGCTCAGGAGTGGGAGAACAGTCTGGACAACGTGGCAAAACCCCATCTCTACAAAAATTAGCCAGTGTTGATGGCGCATGCCTGTAGACCAAGCTACCTGGGAGGCTGAGGTGGGAGGATTATTTGAGTCTGGGAAGTCGAGGCTGCAGTAAGCCATGATTATGCCACTGCACTCTAGCCTGGCATAATCAAGACCCTGTCCCCAAAAACAAAAAGATTTTTTTGAAGAGCTAAAAGGCACCCAGTGCAATAGGTGAAAATTCCGTATCAGTTGCACTGAGTCAAGATGGCGCCACTGCACTCCAACATGGGCAACAGAGTGAGGCTGTGTCTCAAATAAATAAATAAGAAATGAAAAATTAAGGCCGGGCGCGGTGGCTCAAGCCTGTAATCCCAGCACTTTGGGAGGCCGAGGCGGGTGGATCACGAGGTCAAGAGATCGAGACCATCCTGGTCAACATGGTGAAACCCCGTCTCTACTAAAAATACAAAAAATCAGCTGGGCATGGTGGCGCGTGCCTGTAATCCCAGCTACTCAGGAGGCTGAGGCAGGAGAATTGCCTGAACCCAGGAGGCGGAGGTTGCGGTGAGCCGAGATCGCGCCATTGCACTCCAGCCTGGGTAACATGAGTGAAACTCCATCTCAAAAAAAAGAAAAATTAGCCAGACATGTTGGTGCATGCCTGTGGTCCCTTAGTAGCCTGAGGTGGGAGGATCACATGAGCCTGGGAGGTAGAGTCTGTAGTGAGCTGTAATTGTGCCATTGCACTCCAGCCTGTGTGATAAAGGTACATACTGTCTGAAAACAAACAAACAAATGAAAAAAACCAAACACATGTTGAAATAGACTAAAGAAGACTTAAATAAATAGAAAGACATCTCATGTTCATGAATCAAAGGATTTAATATTGTTAAAATGGCAGCATTTTCTAAATTGATCTAAAGATTTAATGTGATCCCTATCAAATTCCAAGCTAGCTTCTTTACAGATATTGACAAAGTGATGCTGAAATTCACATGGAAATCCAAAAGGAAACCAAAATAGTGAAAACAATTTTGAAAGGGAACAAACTTAGAGGACTTACATGTTTTGATTTCAAAAGTCACTACAAAGTTACAATAATCAAGACAGTTTTGTACAAACATAAGAATAGACATGTATATATGGAATGGAATTGAGACTCCAGAAATAATTGGTCTTGGCAAAGATGCCAAGATAATTCAATAGTAAAAGTATAATCTTGTTTAAATGGTGTTGGGTTAACATTTGCATGCAAAAGAATGAAGTTGGACACCAATCTCATGCCATATAACAGATTAACTCAAAATGGATTAAGTACCTAAATGCAAGAACTACATTTTTAAAACTCATACAAGATGAAGGTGAAATCTTCATTATCTTGAACTGGGCAATTGTTTCTTGGATCTACCACCTAAAGCACAAGTGACCAAAGAAAAAAAATGGATAAATTGGAACTCATAAAAATTTAAAACTTTGGGAGGTTAAGGCAGGCAAATTACCTGAGCTCAGGAGTTCGAGACTAGCATAGGCAACATGGCAAAACCCTGTCTCTACTAAAAACACAAAAATTAGCTGGGTGTAGTGCTGCACACCTATAGTACCAGCTACTTGGGAGGCTGAGTCGGGAGGATGGCCTGAGCCCAAGAGGCCGAGGTTGCAGTGAGCGGAGATTGTGGCACTACACCCCAGCCTAGGTGATAGAGTGAGACCCTGTCTCAGAAAATAAATAAATACCTACATAAATAAATGCAAAACTTTCATGCAATGGGAAAGTGAAAAGACAATCCAAAAAATGGGACAAAATACTTGCAAATTACATGTCTGATAAGGGTAGAAGGGGATCAGAATTTGCCACTCTAAAATATGTCACTTTGACATAAGCATTATTTGGAGCCGAAGACAATTAGGGAAAAGCAGATACAAAAAGAACTCTCTGCTCTTCCCCTTTCTACCTAAAAGTAGGGCATACATTTCCCCTTCTGAAGATGTCTCCCCTGCTCGCTCCTATACCAGAGGAAGAATTTACTCTTGTCACTGGAGAGGACACCTACTTGAATCTGTATAATAAGTTTTACTAAATTAGCCCTTATCGTCTGTTAGTTTCCTCCATATATTAATCTTCCCACAACTTACCAACCCTAGAAGCCCAAATCCCTTTCCTTTATCTTATAACTTCTCCATAATCCATTTTCTTTTGTTAAAATAGTATATAAACAAACTCTCAAGTTTTCACTTTCTGTGAAGCTCCCACATGCATGTGAAATAAACCTTTTCTCCTATTAATCATCTTTTATTGGTTTAATTCACAAGCCTCAGTCACTTAACCTAAGAAAGTGGAGGAAAAGTGGTTTTCCTCCCCTACAGTCTAGTACCCAGTACATGTAAAGAATACTTCCAAGTTAATAATAAAAAGACAGAAATCCAATTTAAAAATGGGTCAAGATTTGATTAGAGACCTGGTGCAGTGGTTTACGCCCGTAATCCCAGCACTTTGGGAGGCCAAGGCAGGAGGATCATTGAGGTCAGGAGTTCAAGACCAGCCTGGCCAACATGGTGAAACCCTGTCTTTACTAAAAATACAAAGCGTTAACCAGGCATGGTGGTGAATGCCTGTAATCTCAGCTACTTAGGAGGCTGAGGCAGGAAAATTGCTTGAACCAGGAGGTGGAGGTTGCAGTGAGCCCAGATTCCGCCATGGCACTCCAGCTTGGGGGACAGAGAGAGATCCTATTTAAAAAAAAAAAAAAGGATTTGATTGGATATTTCTCTGCAAAAAGTATGCAAATGACAAATAAACACATGAAAAGATGCTTAACATCATTAGTCATTAAATAAATGCAAATCCAGGCCCGACGCTGTGGCTCATACCTGTAATCCCAGCGCTTTGGGAGGCTGAGGTGGGCAGATCACCTGAGGTCAGGAGCACGAGACCAGTCTGGCCAACATGGAGAAACCCTGTCTCTACTAAAAATACAAAAAAATTAGCCAGGCGTTGTGGTGGTCACCTGTAATCCCAGCTACTTGGAAGGCTGAGGCAAGAGAATTGCTTAAACCCGGGAGGTGGAGGTTGCAGAACCAAGATTGCAACTCCAGCTTGGGCAACAGAGCAGGACTCCATCAAAAAAAAAAAAAAATAGTATAAGTTGGTCTTCAAAAGAGAGGAAATTCTGACACAGGCTTCAATAAAGATGAACCTTGAGGGCATTATGTTAAGTG